TGCAATCAGGTGTGTGCGTACACCACGAATCGAGACAATTGTTTTCTGGTCTTCGCAAAAAACACTCATATTCCGAGGCGCAGTTCAAACCTTTGCATGTGTCGAACCAAGTTTGCACGTCTGCAAGCAATTTGTCTTCGTTACGTGCAAATTTAACAATTTTGTGACATGTATAAACTTAGATCGGGTATTTTTTTAAATGTTTTTATTAATTTAAAATTGTTACTAATAATTAATATTAATATTTAATATTTAATAATTAATATCTTAAATATATATTTTATAATAATATTTAAATAGTTTTGAATGTGCGTAAAAACCCTGTGTGAGAAAATACGTGAAAAGATTGAGTGAGAATTAATTAAATTAATTATCTTTTTGCTTGATGTGACCTTCCGCACTTTCGCAACTTCTGATAAGTTTGCAGGGTGGATTAACGCAATACGTTTCTCGCAAAATGCAACTTTTTCCCGAGGGACACTCAGAGCCGGCGCAGGAAGCTGCACCCTCGTGATACTCTTTCTCCGATACGCAACGCGCTAATTGTTGCTTGCACTCTGAGAAAGTTTTAAAAATGCATTATCTGCATTTCTAAAAAAAATATAGGTATAATTATTTTGTTAATAGGTGTTAATTACTCCCATCCCAATGACATCCTCGCACTTTAACGATACATATGTGTCCCTTGCTGCAACGAACGGTGTCGCATATTTGTGGTCCCTTCAACGATTCTAAAAATAATCCAAGCATCTCTCTTTCATACTTGTACAAATATATTATTGCATTCAAATATAATTAATGCAAAATATTTTAAATTAATTAAAAAAGATATGGAAATGTCCAAAAGAAGAGGATATTAAAGTGGAAAGTAGACAAATTTCCATCTGACAGAAAACGAAGCTGATCTATCGACACATTCTCCTCGAACTTTACCTTTTCTCGACTTAGAGCAATACAACATGCCGGGGCAGGGTGGATCCTTGCACCAAAACCGTCGTTTCACGCATTGGCTACCGTTCTCACAACGTAGATAGGCGCATCCTTTCGAATAATCACTTCCCGATTCTCCTGTCGCAAGTTATCGTAATTTTTTGAAGAAAGAAAGCAAAGTGTATAAAGGTCCATAGAATTTTGCTTAAATTTGGATTAAACTTACCGTTCGCGAAAAGTTGTTCGGAAAGCAAGAAGAAAAGAAGGCACGTTAAGTTGCAGATAAAAATGTATTCGCGTCGCATGGCGACAGCGCTGATAGCACTCGCTTATTTCAATTGCACCTGTGCACCTGTGCCGATACAGCTATAGACGTAATAGCGTGTAATGTAAGCGCAATTGTAACGAGAGCCGCCGCATGGAAAAGAGTATTGTCAATACAGCAGTTGTCGCTAACGTTACGCCTCGTTGAACGCTATTGGCACGTCGTACGGATCACAAAGGAGAAATATTATACGTAAAACATGTACGTTCAATAAGTCTTACTTTATTCTCGCATATTTCGTTTTTGAAAAACCCCGGCACTTACAGAGCGTAAATTCTTGGTGTGATCTTTGCAAAATTATCGATGTTTTCACTTCGCGTCGGAAACTTGTATCCTCGATGACACGTTAATACGATCTATTAAAGAGACAACTATGTACACAGTCTGGTCACGTAACAAAACACATTGTGCAAGCAATATTTCGCATAATTATCAGACTTGATGACGAGAAATAATAACGAATTAATGATTCAATCTTATAAAATATTTCTAGAGAACGGAATATAAAAATAGTAGTAACGGTATTTTGTCAGCGATCAATTGTTATAAGAATTCTACGAAGAACATTGTGCTTAATGCGCAAATATCTATCATAGAGAGATAATATGTATTGTCCATTATTGTCACTTTTGTCTAAAAGCTATTTCACTATTTGTTTTTGTTTATATACATGCGATCGATATTGTACTATGTGACTCAGCTCGCGCACGTATATACGTAGGTTTACGATCGATGACAATCTATAGGCATTTTTTTGCCATAATGTTACAATTTTGTCAAGCTCATCTAAATCGTTATAGTCATCATCGGACTGCAAATAAATTGAATTCTTATCATTTTTTAACAAAACGCTTTATTTACAAGCGGACATTGTCTTGATACGTTCGCATGTTAACTTTTAGTTTCTACCTCGAGGCAATCAATCTACATTTAATTAAATACCATTAACATAGATAAAATATTTTCTATGTAAATTTAATTTTAAAAAAGTTACATTAAAACAATCTTAAGATTAATGACGTAAAATCTCAGGTATATATCCATTATTTCAAGATACTATATCACGCTTGGTTTTATTGCTTTACTGCAGCATATCAACAATTATAGACAGAGAGAGAGAATTTACTATATATATAATATATATACTTGTATATATAATTAGATTTCTAACGCAACATAAAATTAACGTTACAAGTCTTGCAAAATTAAATCAATACGTAATTCTTTATATTAAAAAGTTCTTTCGTATTTCACCACAAAGAACCAGCGAGAATCTCATTTTCACATGGAAATTCGTCCATATGCTTCGATTAAAACTACGTATTAGTTTCCTTTCGACGATCTTCTACTCGTATCCGTACTCTTTAATTGTAATTGCAGTAGCCCGGCGAGCACGCTGGTAAAACCAGCGTTGTAATCCAACGTGACCTCCGTATAGGCGTACTCCTCGCGACAATCTTTAAACGAGTCCACCTCGTCCGGTCCGGAGACTAGAGCACCGTAGAGAATCTGTGGATTCGGTGCGTTCTTGCTGAATTCCTGCCATCCGCAGGATGCCGGTCTATTGGGGCAAGAAGACGCGGCATGGTGCGGCTGTTTCGGCGAATTTTTACCGTACCCGACCACGTAACTTCTTCCTGGAAAATGCACAGATTCAATAATGAGCAAAGATCAAAGAAAAGATGAATATTCATTTACAATTCATGAAAAACGGTAAAAATTCGTTATAATTATGTATTGATTAACTGCCAGATTTTTATTTAATGGTGTAAAAATGTTTAATGCTTAATCAATGATATAATGATTAATGACGAATTAATGATATAAAAATAAAAATAGAGAAATAGAAGTTCCACGAATAGTGGGTTGCGGTAACTAAAGTGATTTAATTAGAGTTTCGTCTCTCTCTGAATATTTTTAACTAAGGTCTTACCCGCTCCACCAAGCATATAGTCAATTTGTTCTCTGGCGAATTGGCGGTATTCCTGCGAGTCGTTGATTTCCGGAGAATCCGCCGCTACCAGGCAGACGAAGGCCACGTTAGCGGCGTGAGAAAGAGTACCGGACTTATCGATGAACAGAAGGCCCTTCGGGGTGCGTTTCTGTTGCCGCACCGAGAAGTCGCAGAACGCGCGGGTGGCATTCTGGTACTCGGATTGTCCCGTCAATTCAGCCAGCAACACCTACGAAAAGCAAAAAGAGATGATGTATGTAGCCGAAAATATCAGAAGATATATTACTGCTTAGCAAACTATCCACAACCTTCCTTTTGTGATCAAGAAACTTCGCTATTTATTTTTAACGTCAAATTCGCCGAAAAACGGAAGCTCTTTCTCAACAAATAAATTACGTTAGCAAAATCAATGTGTCAGTAGAATAAAAAATATAATATATAAATGGGAAGTCTCACCTGGATACCGGCGACTTTTTTGTTGTAGAAGAATGCGTTCGGTCGTTCCTTGAGATGGAAGTGCTGATAGTGATGCACCGCGTCGTCGAAGTACTTCGTGTCTCCGGTCGCCTTGAACAGCCAAATCGCAGCCCAGGCCAGCTCGTCGCCGTAATCCGTGCTCTCGTAATATCGCTCGGCGCCGCGTATCGCCTCGTGATAAAGACCGCGATAAACGTCCGCGAATTTGTACAGATCCTTCGCGTGCTCGAGACACTTGGCGCTGTACTCGGGATCGACACTGCTGAAGACGATGCTCGAGGCCGCGAGAGCGGCAGCCGTTTCGCCGGCGAGATCCGAACCTACGATCGATCAATGGCAAATAGAACATATTAGACGGATGCAAATATATAACGAATATAATAAACGTGAAATGAAGAAGTTAAATAAAGAAATAAATAAAAAAAGTGAAGAAATAAATGAAGAAATAAAGAATAAGTTCAAAGAAATTGAAACTGGTAGAAAAATGGCACTGATATTTTACTGGTATAAATAGATAGTCATAATGTATAATACATAATATAAATTAAACTAAACGCGTTTACATTTAATAATGTATTTTTTCGTTTCTACTTATTTTTCGAAACGTTATTTGAAAAGAGAGATGTATTGACATTACCAGGATGCTCCGCATCAATCTTGTAGGTCGGTCTAGTGGTGTTCAGCTCCTCGGGTCTCCCCCAAAACATATGATCGATGGGAAAATCGCCTACTTGCCCATACAGCACGTTCTCGCTTACGTGACACTTGATAAAGTAATCGGTAGACCATTTGATAGCTCTACGAACTTCGTCGAGTTGACCGGCGGCGTCATAAGCCTCCGGCCAGTTGACCGCTCCCCAGGCTAAAAGCGTCGTCGTGAAAGCCATCGTGAAGCCGAATTTAACGAAGTCACCAGCTGGTAGAATAAGAATAAATAATTAATTTTGCAAATTATCCAATTAAATAGCGATCTAAAACGCAACTGATTTATTACCATCGTAATAGCCTCCGGTTAGATCCTCGCCATTCGAGCCGCGGTCGTGCAACGCGGAATCGCCTCGCCACGAAATTCTGTTGTTCTTCGGCAGCTTACCAGAACGCTGCGCTTCGTAAAACAATAACGAGAGCTCCAAGACTTGAGCGTAATCATTTCCGTTCTCGAGTGCGGTCGCGTTTTCCGTCGAGACAGCGTTTATCTCGCACGACGTCGCAATCAATATTGCCGACAGAATCTGTCGATAAATCGCACATTAAACATTAACAAGGTGTTTAATATCATTGTCGCATGGCCGAACGTTTACGAAGAGCGCGCCTAATGATTACCAGTGCACGTGTACTAGACGAACGAGCGCAATATAGGACAATGTCGTGTAGAGTCTTAAATTTTGCATGTAGACTACAGTCTCATAACATAATCTGCGTGTACGGTAATCTGCGCAATCAAGGGGTTTACGCTCCGGGGAAAGTAAGGTCGGCTTCTCGTTTTATCGAGGAGTCGAAGGAAGCGAACAAAATTTTGAACAATTTTCAACATGACATCATATATTTCCAATTCGACAATTATGCCGATCGACAATCAGATTTTCATTTCGAGTAATTTCGAATTGCCTAACGCGACTAAAAAAAATAATGATGGAATAATTCGCGATGGCTATATACGCAATTAAAAATTGAGGAATGCTGACATTTTTTTATACTTGTCTTCTCCCGAGTTTGAAGGATTCGATTCTGCGATAACAATCGTTTTAATAGACAATCGAATCATAATAATTTCAAGTCACTTTATTTCTTAAGTGAGTAAAAATAATAACACAGAAAAAAGCGATTATAGCAAATCTAGTCGTAAAATGTGGTTAACTAACAATTGTTGAGGCGAAAGCTATATTTTTTGCAGCGAGAGCTATAGATTAGCAATAGTAGCAAAACCTCTTTTATTAAAGTTTTGCTACCATTGTTAAATTATAGCTTTCGCTGCAAAAAATATAGCTCTCGCTGCAAAAAATGTTAGTTATCCATATTTTACGACTAGATTTGCTATAGTAGCTAATTCTTGTTTTCCGTGAATCAGAAAAATTCACATCGACAACAAAGTAAATGCAGAAATTGAGAAATAATATGTACAAACGCTTATCTTTCTTCTCGTTCGTAAATTCGAAGGATTTGACTTTGGGGGAAAAAAGAGATGCTATTTTTTGCGAAATAGAATATATCTTGTGTGCGTATTACAGTCATATGTGTGTGTCTTGTTAAAAAATTACGACGGCACAGGAGGATACGTGTACACCTTTGTTCTTCGCTTATGATGTATCGTCGATGCGACGATACCGCGCGAATCGCTACGATAAATCCGCAGGACCACGTACAAGCTACGTGACGAACTTAAACGCGATTCATTTGCGAGCTTCCTTCATTCACGAGGCTTCATTAGGAATTAAGTTCTCGCATTCTCGTACAGCTGCGTCTACCGTGATTAAAGCAGAATGCATTTTGTTTGCGCAATAAAAACGGTCTCTGTCGCCATGATGTTCGCGATAATCTAATCAGGACGCGTCTTTATATAAATCATTTAATTTGAAAGAGGCTTTATTTCGGAAACATGAAGATTGATTTTCAAAATATAAAAAAGATTCCACTTTAATCACTAAGATAATTAATTTCTATCTCTTCTGAAGGCTAAAGATTTTGGAGCAGCGTGATTAATTGATCCACACGCGCATGTAATCGTTATAGTTTCAGCAAATTATTCGGCGCCGTTTAGATTTAGAATATATATTTCTATAATACGCCGCGAAACGTGAGTGAATTCGAGAAACCGGTATGTTTAAGAAGGAAGGAAGAAGCGTGCTTGGAGCCGCGTTTGATCCCGCTTCCTCGTCGCCAAAGCGTTCTCCAGGTTTCCGAGAAGTCCTCGGTTCGTCGTTCGTGTAATTCCTGTATGACAAACGCCAATAACTTCGGCAAATATCGGCCTTATTGTAAACTCGCGAATTCCTACGCGCGTGAGAACTTCTCTCGCGAAACGTTTTTGAAACAGTCCAAAATGAGAGGAGACGTCTCGTTGTCCAGATCTCGTCAAGTTTGTCACGCGAATTATTAGGAATTTGGACGAAGATAGTGATTAAACCTTTAAAGTGCTCATATTCGACAGAAATTATAAGCTGACAGATTTTTAGTCTTGTTTTATTATTTATATCTAAACGATTACGCAAGTTTATGTGTAAGTCTAGAATACGAGGAGATTTTCTGATATGGAATTTTGACAGATAAAAAAAAAGCTGATTAGAGAATGTTCAAAGATCGTTAAAATTTAATAATAAATCGCAAAAGCAAACTAAAAAATGTTCTGCTATAATTTTCATCGATGCAAAGACCAACGATGTTGAAAAGCTTGATGATAGCAATCCGTTGAAGATAATCAAATAAAATTGTCACATTTAAATGTGCAAAGCTGATCCCAATAAAATCTCCACGTTAAGACAGAAATGATAAATAGCGACATTTAGGATCATTCAAAGATCTCTTAATCGCTTGCGATTTTTTTATCTCCTTGTTTACGAGATATTATTATTTTGTCGCGATTTTTTTGCGGCATTCCGTCGCGTTCGCATGAGATAACGCGACTTAATGCAGATATGCAACAGGTAATCGCGAGTGACCATCAAGAACCACCGGCCGGGAAAACTCACCGTGACGCACGTGACGAAGAGGTTCATTCTGTCGAGCTTCATTCTGCCGCGATGCCGTCGCGATGCTGTCGTCCCGGAAGCGCGAACGCGACGCGACAAGGCGAAGGTGCGCGCCGGTCACGTCGATTCAGAAACCCTGTGCGTGTCCGTTACACCGCGACGTCGACGCGAATCGGCATAGCACACCTTGGCACACGAAAGCGTCGCGCCCTGCTTCGCGAAACGCGCCAAGTATCGTCCGTTTCTCTCCAAAGCTGAAAACGAATTCTAGTATAAAATTCGAGAACAAATATAAGAGATTTCCGCCAAGAGATAAAATTCGCCGTTCAGAATAAACAACTAATGAAAAAAAATATGGTAAATGTGTTTTGTAATGTGTCCCGCGATGCTGGACTGATCACTCTTTTAAAATCTCGTGAAACGTGGACGTGGATTCTTTTCTATCTATTTATGTTTGATAACATAAGTAATAAAAATCACGTACATGTATAAAATATTAGTCGAATGAATAAAATAGCATATTTTTGTGTAGAAAGTGCAAAAGATATATGCGTAAAAGAAAACGAATTTACAAACTCACAATCCTAATTACAATAAATCTAGATCATGATCAGAAACTGGAACCGGCATATGATTCAATGCCGCACAAGCACGTTTTCTATAAATATATGTATAAATGCGAATTGATATCCACAAAAACTTTCTTCGAGAAACGTGTCAACTGTAAAATGCATATCCCGTGTTGTCAAAATTAATGTCGAAATTCGAACTCACCGCAGTTTCTCCGGTTCTAGTTAGCGCCGCCGGCTTAAATCTCACCGATTGTCTCGCATCGTGATCTCGTGGAAGACTCGCGGAAGACCGAGAGTGAACGACGATCGCGGAGACCGTCTTGTTCCTCGCGTTACTTCTTATAAGAGGCCAAACGTCGCCTCTTCTACCATCGGCATTTGTATACCCAGGCACTGACAGAATGTGCACAGGTTGCGTGCTCAAGTCTTCTCTCGTTCTACCGTCACTTCGATCGCTCGCACCTCTCGTCTGGCTATCTCACTCTCCCACTCCCCTACGTTTTGTCCACCACGCCGATCTCCTTCTGTCGATTGTATTTAAATGCGAATCACGCCGCTATCTCTACGATACGTGTGAGAGGTTCGGTCGGAGCGATTCGTGAAGAAACGTGAAAAACGCCGAATCTCTTCGACATGATTTTGACAGAAGAAATGATGCCAAAGTGGAAAAATCTGCTATAGAGCTGATATGCAATTTTTACATTACATACGTGTATTGCTAATTTTTAAAATATACATCTTCGACTTTGAACATCGCGTTTAGAATTGCAAATATTATTGGAAGTAGTTGTGCTACGTCCGATTCTTTAGAAATGTTTCTTTGAAAACAAATGCGAACATCTTTATTTATACGAGGATTCATCATATTCACTATAAATTTAAATATTCAGAGTAAACCAACAATCGTTATTGCCTTTATTATCTTCAAAATAATGAGAGATATAAAAAAGTTTCTATAAGAATTGTACACTATAAAAAGAAGAAGATTACGGTAGTTTATTATCAGGGATAATGATCGGTGAATGCGTAGCAATATGGTTGATAAATTGATCATATTTTATCAAGGAAAATCGCAATTTTTACATTCAAAGGCTGGTAATAATTATTGATTTAACCTATATGTGGAAAGTTGGCGCCTTACACATACTGTATATTTATATACGTATGTTTATTATTGATATTCAAGAATATCGACTCAACTGCCAAGCTAGCGAAGATACACCATTAGCGAAGAAATGATTGCAAACCGCATTTACATGAAATCGTTACGACATTGATAGCATACACATAAAGTGATAATCTATACGCGTAAACACATCACTTACATTGAATGTAAAATTACTTTATAATTTGAGGTCAGTATTAAATGAACTTCACCGAATATTAATGTCGATATTATCATACTCGAGAGCTGCATAAGTTATTAGGCCGCTATGCGCGTCGTTATAGAGTCATTTACGTCGAAACATGAAGATGGAAATCTAAAGATCAACTAACACAATCAATGTGCTTTCTTCGTTAATAACGTGACAGCATTTAAGCAAATTGAAGTATGTAATACTCAAATAAAAAGGAGAAGTTAACCACTCGTTAAAAGCTATATGAGAAGATCAAACGGCCACAAATTTGGTCTGTGTGTTTTTATAAACTCTATATTTAGTTAATTTATTCATCATGATACCTATTTAATTTTTTCGTCTCATTGTACTCTTTTCTTACTAATTTTATAATTTTGAACTTTACTTTCTTTCTTTATATTTTATTATGTACTGAAGAAGACTAAGTACAGTCGAAATATTCTAACTGTTTTAATGCTATTGTCAATAAAAAAGATTTCTTTTTAAACTAACATTCTTATTGTGCTCGTAATTTATAATATACTCGCCGTTTATATTACTCAAGCTTTAAATATGTTGATCTTATAACTGGAAATTTTCCTTTACGAATAAATTACATGTTGTCAACACATTATTGCAATCGAAAACATTCCTCCGCCGTGTGCGGTTGAATGTCAAAAATTTGGAACTAGTTATAATCCTGCCTAAAATTTTTTTCAAGAAGAGGCTGACCTTGCATTATTAAAATTAAGTCGAGTGATTCTAAAGAATACTAAATCCTCATTCATTGCAATTTACTCTCTTTACTTGCGAAAGTATTATTAAACATTTTGTGCAATACGGTTCGCGCGCGAGAGAGAAAGCAAGGAAAAAACAAATGTCTAAGATTATTTCCCTCTTCCTAATCGTAGGAAGAGGAAAAATGCAAAATATACATGTATGAACGTGAAGTCTCCGTGATTATTTGTGAGTTTCATCCGTCAGGAAAGTAGCAATCTTCTCGACGGACACGCTCGGGAACTCTTTCCAATTGTGCATATCGCATATGTAATAATGTATTAGCGAAAGAAGTAAGTAATATTTTGTAAGATTTTACTGAAGAAATTGAAGTACTTTTTACATTTTGAAAATTTGCCCGCAAAGTATAAAAGAAAGATTTTATTACTAAATCTAATTTGAATAATTATATACAAGTAGGAAAAAAAGAACAAGACTTCTCGATATTTTTCCACAAGTTACTAAGCACATTTTCATAGAATATATTTAATAAATTTATTGTTACTTTATGGTACTTCCTCATTTTTTTATGTTTATCGCAAATCTTCATCATTAATAGATTAATCGCTACTCCATCGTTTCATTTAATTTGTTTTATTTTTTTCTATAAAGTCCATCGAAAGTGATAATGTACTATTTCGTTTATTATTTTGATTATTTATAATTGATTATCAAACAAAAGATAATTTAATGAAACCACTATCACAAATTCTTTTGTTAAATTAACTGTCGTAATTGAGATATCACATGTTGATTATCGTTATGCACACACTATGTTATCGGTTATTAAGTGTCATCTCTGATGATAAATTTAATAATTGATTTATTGATCCCAGGATTGCAAAAGTTTGATCGATTAACTTGATCGAATAACTTACTAACCGACTGATTAATGAACTGTCTGAGTGACTGACTGATTTAGCCGATTCAATGACGATTGTAAGTGACTAAAAGAATGAAAAAGTGGGGATGCACACGGGAAGAGAGGCGACTACTCGTCTCGCATACGTGATGGCACGACGAATATTATATCACCATCACCATTGTCGACGTCGCTGCCGTCGATGTATCGCAAAAGATTAATTTTTATTTTTCATATTTGTTAGACAGTTAGACCATCATCGGAATCATCAAACCGTACCAGAATAGCATGTGAAGAGACCTGAATAATTGATGTGCTGACAACCTAAGAAAACACCTAAATAATTGAGGTGCTGACAACTGATTATTCTTATATAATTAGTTATTGTTATGCAGAAATTATGAAGCGAAGAGATCTTCATCTTCGTGCAGAAAAGACGGGCAGAGAAATAAGTAATTCAATTTTTTTCAAATTTTTTTTAATTCGCTAATTTTTATACGTTGCACTTGAACAATATGATTGTAGAAGTGCAATTTTTTGAAATACAATACTTATATAAACCGAGATATGTGTCAATCTTGGAGACTATGGAATCTTATTTTAATTAAAAGGTGAAAAGACACTTCTTCTCCTGAACTTTTTGGAATAATTGTTTTAAGCCCAAAGACAATTCCCGGAAATTTTAATGTTGTTCTCTCTTCGACTTTCGAATAATTGAATGCCGGCACTGGCATTGATTATCTCAGGAAGTCGAGTGAACGTAAATGGAAACTCGGGCAATTTCAGCACAGCGGTTTAACCGCTGCATACAGCTTTCACTGGACACGATATTCTTATTCGAATCTTTCGTTTTCGTTCCACTTTGCAACGAATTAATGGCCGGCGACCGGCGCCGCACCTGGCGAAGGTAAAAGACATATATATATTTTTTCTGAGAACAAGACTCACGCTTTACCGAGCTCAAGGTTTCCGAAATTTTACATTACACAACGCTTCTTGTCTGATTATTGTAACAGGTATTTGCATATAAATTACATTTCTCGTGCTGTGACAAAAACCTCGCTATACATGAGTCATTTGTGTGGCACGCAAAGAATCTGACTACGTGTTCGATATCGATTGAGGGAAATCTGTTTTCTTTACGGGTTTATTTATAAATTACCCACACACAGCGTTTGCATACAGCTACATATATAATTCTAAAAAATTTTACCCACGATTTCTTAAAATAAAATAGGGTATGAATAAAAAATATCTGAGATATTGGAAAGCATCATGTAAATGATAGGTATATATCAGTGTGTTACATTTTTGCACGTTTGCCGAACGCAATCGATGGCAATTCCAACAAAAATGTAGAGAGCTATTACCGCAATTTTTTTTATATTGCTAACATTTGCTCAATACGAAATTGAGCATTACTCGATCTCTGAACATTATTGCACATTTTATGACATGATTGTGTTAGTAACAATAATAAACTTATTACTAGACACATACATATATATATATATATATATATATATATATATATATA